AAGAATACAATTACTCTTTCCTCCATTTTGTTAATGGCAAACTTCTCATCAATGATGCAAGAATCCAACAAATGAGGCCTCTACCTGTTGGCGCAGCAGGTTAGGGTGTCGCACTGCGAGGCTGGCTACAGCAGCTTCAGCACGAGTTCATTCCCCGGCCAGGGAGCTGACCCACATGGTATGTTAGACCTCTTCTGTGTCCCCTCAGCAGTGTACTTCAACGATCTGCCTATTCTGCTCCCCACTCTGTCTCTGGTGAGCCTCTCACTGCCCCTACACCTCTGGCCTGTACCCCAGTTCTGTATGAATAAATAAATAAATCTTTAAGAAGAAGAATCCAACCAATGCACTCGAATCATTTCATGGGCAGGAAATTTGGAGTGGCACGACTTGCACTGGGAAATCTAAGTGCCAATGATTGATGTGAAAGCCTCTCATCTCTGAGCTGCTTTTTTACCAGGCTGTCCTGGTTCCGTGTAGGTAGGCGGGCTTAGTGGGTCCACGCCTCTCTTTGTCATACACATGAAGAAGATCAAATAAGAACCATCAAGTGAGTGGGAATGATTATTTTTCCATAGAATTATAAATCAGATGCCTACAGGGCAAGGTCCCGCCAGTGAATAACAAAGCTGATGCTCGGCACGGTGTGGATGGCGGAACATGGGAGGGCACCCTCCCTGCCTTTGAGAGGCAGCTGCTTCTCAGCTCTGACTGCTTATTCCAAGGTAGGAGCGGGGTTGCCAGACTTAAATTTTCCATCCAGAAATCCAGCTTTTTATGTAAAAATGTTAAATCTCCCATCTTTACATCTCATCACCTAATTTCAAAATACGTGAAAGTGCATTCCAGGTTAAATAAAGCGTAGATCAGGCCCATAAGCCCAGCCAACTATCTGCCGACTTCGAGCCCCTAATGTGACACAGTATAGAGGCAAAGAATTGGGTGCTGACCTTTTATAAATCTTCCTGAAGATACAATTTGATGATTCTGGGATTTCTTCTCCAGAAAAGGGATTCTTTATGGTTCTTCTTAAAGTTCCATCTAGAAACAAAATAAGATGTGAAATTCTTGCATGTAAAAGGCAAACCATTTTCTTTTTTTTTAAAGATTTATTTATTTATTTATTTTTAAGATTTATTTGTGCATACAGAACTGGGGTACAGGCCAGAGGCTGAGGGGTGGTGAGAGGCTTCACCAGAGACAGAGCGGGGAGCAGAATAGGCAGATCGACGAAGTACACTGCAGAGGGAGCAGCGGGCGGGTCAGGAGAGGTCTGCCACGCCATGTGGTCACCTCCGGGGCAGGCGGGAATCGAACTCATGCGGAAGTGGCTTTAGCTTCTCAGTGCTGTGCTTTAACCCGCTGCGCCACCAGGGAGGGCCCAAACCATTTTCTTTTAATGCAACCCCAGTGGGCAGCTAATGACCCCTTCCAGCACAGCAATGCCCCTTGGCTTTCTGGACCCGGTTTTCATGCAGAGGTGGATATGTTACTCCTTGTCTGGGGATGAATTGTGAGCTTCTTCCCTGGGATTCGAAGGGGTGGACTGTAATGACCCCTGCCTCCTGGTTAATATGTGTGCCAGGACATTCCAGGGGGAACATCTTCAGTATGTGGAGTTGGTCACGACTTCACAAATATTTCCACTGAATTGTTACCAAGAAAACCTTTGCTTATGAATTTTTGTTTTATTACTTTGCTAAAGCAAATACACTCCAGAAAGACATGCGGTATTCCACTTCGGTCCAGCGTTATGCCTTCGAGCTCTCTCTCTCTCTTTCTCTTTTTTTCCTAAAGAAAAAGCATGAGAAAGGCCAAGTTTTCTGTGTTTTTCAGAAGTGCATGTTATTTTCTGTACTTGCTGTGGATAGGTAAGTGGGCTTCTCACTAGGAGGCTCCTCAAGCCCACAAGTCTTTTGGCTTAGCTAAGTTGAGTCAGCCTGTCAGGTTGTGTTTGTGATAGTGTGTGATAGTGAACCTATCTGTTTACACAGGATTCTGCTTCTCTTTTGAACAACGCCCGACTCTTCTTTCTGGATAAGTGATACCCCAAAAGTAGATTTCATAATAGGGGTTTTTTGTTCTTCCTGATCAGACTTTCCTCCTATAGATTGTGTTGCGCCAACATTGATGTGCGAGGGTGCCTGTGGTACTCACCTAGGTGGCCAGGGAGATGGGATGATGCCTGGTACTCTGGATAGGGACTCAGGTCCCTGCTTGCCAGTCCTCACCCTACGTTCTCCATAGGGTAAACAGCGGCACCTCTTTCCTGCTCTGAGTAGCATCCTACCTTTAGGAAAACTGTCTCCTGGTGTCTTATTGAAAAGGGCAAATGAGTCTCTCTGGGCTCTGGTTTATGCAGACTCAGCCTCACGGGGCACAAACCTGAAGCCCAGTCGCTCACCCCATGTTTACTTTTATTCCCAGCCACATCTGGAGGCCAAAATTCATAAATTTATGGCCAAGCCCGACAACGGTGTACTGAGTTTGTACATTAAGGGAGTGGGGCGGGGAGCTCTCCTGACTCCCTGGGTGTCAAATGGATGTAGAAGCGGATGGGCAGACCCTGAACCCAGGGGTGTTTGTTGGCATCTCAGCCTGCCGATGGCCTAGGCGTGAGCAGCCGTTTGTCTTGGAGGTTGAGCCCGAGAGCTGCACCGATCACTCTGTGCCTGCAGCCAGGCATCCTTTTAAGCCACCGGGGGCCGAGGGAGCGAAACAAGGGCAGTTCAGAGGTGAAGGGCCTCGCCTGATGGGGGAGCTGCATGGGCACCTCCATGTTTACCGTTGGGCAGTGCGGTGGGTGGGCCAATTCGCGTGACGTACTTGAGGCTTTAAAAAACGGCCATAAATCTGCTGTCTGTCAAACAGGGCTGGCATTTTCTTTTCCTTTCACAACCAGGGTTTGTGTGACCCAAAAAAAATTTTTTTTTTTTCCAAAAACAAGAAATCCTGCACATTCTCCAAAGGGGGCTTTCGTCTCTACCAGGTCGGGCAGACCAGAGAGCTGGGGCTGTTTCTGTGGGGGCTGCCGTCTCCCTGCTCATGGAGAAGGGTGTTGCCCTGACGCTGCTGTGTCTTCACAGACCTGTGGGCCCAGACCTGATGCCTGCGGTCAGCGGCCTGACCATCCCGGAGCCTCGCCTCGCCGGCCAGGGCGCCCCAAAGAAGCCACTCTTCTGCCATAACGAGGGCCCTTCTGGAGGCCCCGGGATGGCAGGAGGCTGTGCTATTAGTGGCCACCAGCCACGGACCCTCAGCCTAGAAAGAAATGTGCTGGGGATGTCCTTTTTGCAAGCGGTTTGGCTCCCTGGTGCCTCACGTCTGAGGTGAGCTGGCCAAAGAAAAGGGCACTTTTTGTGGTTAGAGCCTGGGGCTTGGATGAAGCCCTTGGACGGAGGTGCTGTGTGCCTGGGAGGGTGTGGCCCTCCGCAGAGGAGAACAGCCCCCTGTCTGTGAGGAGCGGGCTGCCAGGTCTCCCCGCTGAGGGAACAGTGAGCAACTGTTGGAAAGCTTGGCCTGGCCCAGTGTCCAGGTGTGCCCTGGCTCAGGTGTGTCATCTCATGAAAAGAGCAGGAGGTCCCAGAGCTGCCCTGACCCCAGCGCCACCCACCTCTGCTGCCTACGCCAGAGTTTCCTGTGCACGTGGGCACGGCCCGTCAGGCTCATCCTATGTCCTCGCCATCTGGCCCCCTGCTCTTACCCAGGCTCGGGCTGGGGGCCCCTTCCCCTCCTCGCTCTACCAGTCCTTCATGTTCCTTCCACCCTGGGCACGGTCCCAGCCAAGCTGCAGGCCATCGTCTGAAGAACTCATACTTTTCAGGGCATTTTTCCTGGCCCCCAGCCACACCTGACCTCCGGGTTATGTGGGCAGCAGTGTTCAAGGGTGTGAAACCAAATGGGTCCGAGCGGGAGGTCGGGGCTCGTCCCAGCAGGGTGGATTTCCCTGTGGGGTGTGGGTGGGGCGAGCAGACATATCCCCAGCGGGACCCCTGGAAGCTCCCCAGGCCCTGAGAAGTGGGTACTTTTCCATCAGAGGGTGGAGGGTGGGCCTCCAGAAGGGCCCTCGTTATGGCAGAAGAGTGGCTTTTGGGGGGTGCCCCGGCCGGCGAGGCGAGGCTCCGGGATGGTCAGGCCGCGGACCGCAGGCATCAGGTCTGGGCCCACAGGTCTGTGAAGACACACAGCAGCATCAGGGCAACACCCTTCTCCGTGAGCAGGGAGACGGCAGCCCCCACAGAAACAGCCCCAGCTCTCTGGTCTCCCCGACCTGGTAGAGACGGCAGCCCCCTTTGGAGAATGCGCAGGATTTCTTGTTTTTTGAAAACAATTTTTTTGGGGGGGGGAGTGGGAGGTCACACAGACCCTGGTTGTGAAAGGAAAAGAAAATGTTTGACAGGCAGCAAGCAGATTTATGGTCATCGGAGGGTGGGGCGGTAAAGAGGAGAACTTTGAGCCCCAGTGACCTAGTGGCCTAGGGAATTTCCAGACTTGTCTGGGGGAGGTTACCCTAACCAGGCACCAGGAATCAGGAAGCCTTTCTCTTATTTTTCAAACTTCTAACCAAGCTTTGCTCTGGTGATAAAATGGTGAGTGGTTGTGCTGGAGGCTCTCATCAATGCCTTCCCGGAAGCCAGAAGCCGAGTGGATAAACATCTAGTGCCTCCTTGCTCTGGGCAGGCCCCTCCCGCCTCACCTTGAAGTCATGTCTGCAGTTGGTGCGACGCGTGTTCCCCCGGCTGTATCCTCTGGGGCCTTGTGTTCTCTCAAGCCTAGTTATTTTTTGCTTTAACTGTTTCAGAATTTCCACTCTCTGCAGTGTGGCCTTGGAGATGGGGCCCCCTCACGGATGCCTGGGGGGCGGCCAGAGAGGGCCGGTTTCCTGTGTCGATGGATGACAGGACTCAAGTCTTAACCTTCACGTTACCCCATCAATCCCTCACTGTGTCGTCCCGGGAACTCACCTCCCACCTCCATCTCATTCCCTGTTTTCTTCACAGAAATTCCACGATCTAGAGTCGAATGCGGTTACTTGCTTATACCCTGCATCCCTGCCTGGGACATGAGCAAGAGGCAGTGTTGGCTGTGGATGATGAGGCCCCCTTCGGTCAGCATGTGACACCCCGCTGGTTCCTGGTCAGTACTTGCACTCACTCCTGGGGACAGGAGCTGGGTGGGGGCGCGTGTGTTTTCTGCCTTATGCCTCCTGGGTTCAGCTTAACGCTTGGCTGCTTCCGGAGCAGGAGAGGCAGGGCTTGCCTTTTTGTCATCAAGCCTCGTCATTGACCTCTCGCTCTTGACAGTCGCGACCAGAAGCATGGACTTGTGGTATCTTTGCTTCAGGTGGGGCAAAAATGCAAGTGATGCTATGAGTTCTGCTTATTTGTTGCTTCTGGAGAGAGGAAGGCTTGCCCAGGGTATTTTTCTTTTCTTTTTAAAAGATTTATTTATTTATTCATACAGAACTGGGGTACAGGCTGGAGATGCGGAGGGTGAGAGGATTCACCAGAGGCAGAGTGGGGAGCAGAGCAGGCAGATCGACGAAATACACTTCCGAGGGGAGCAGCGAGCGGGCCAGGAGAGGTCTGCTGTGCCATGTGGGTCACCTCCGGGGCAGGCAGGGATCAAACTCATGCGGAAGCGGCTTTAGCTTCTTAGTGCTGTGCTGTGACCCTCTGCGCCACCAGGGAGGGCCCCCAGGGTATTTTTCTTAATCAGAAGGATGGAGCTGCGGTGTCCTGGCAGTTTGGCAGCTTCCCGAAAGCCCCAAGTCCTATTCAGTCTTCAAGGGGGGACATGGGCTCCCTCCAGGGTTGGCGGGCTGAGAGGGTGCCGGGTCACCTCTGTGGCTGCCCATCACATGCCACTGTCAGGCTGGTACTTTCTGCAGGACTTCACAGGCCTCCCCATGAGTGTCTTCTGTATTTAATTTCCCCTTTCTCTATAGACACCACCCATTTGGATTAGGGCCACCCTAGTCCACTGTGACCTCATCTTTACTGATCTTGCTTGCAGCAGTGGGTTTATTTTCAAGTAAGACCTGAGGCTGAGTTACTGTGGGGCCAGGACTTTGACATAGCAACATGTGTATGTGTGTGTGTGTGTGTGTGTGTACACATGCCGGAGTGGGCAAGAGAGGTATAGTTCCACCCAGAATGCAACCAGTGACCCATCTTACAACAGAAAACACAGGTGGACCCACAGTCAAGAATTTCCGAATTACTCATCTCACCTCGAATTGTGAAGTTACCGTGAAGCATCCAGAAAAATGCCTGAACTTCCCACTGGAAGTTAAAAGTATGGGGCTTGGGCAGCAGGAATCTTGCTCTCCCCCGTGGCTTCCTGGGATGTCTCTGATGTCCTCACATTGGCCCACACACGTGTATTTTTCTATTTGGTTCATATTTTACTTAAATCACCATCCTATGAAGGGAAACTCTGTCTCACTATCATACACAGAACCCAGGGTCACTGTACATAAGCAGAAAATAGGACGGAGTCATGAAATATTGGATTTTGAAATTTAGACTCTGTCTGAGTCCAGTGGGCTGCGGCCCCTACAGAGGATGGCAGGCTGCAAGCGGAGCACTTCTCCCTGCTTCCCTCAGCTCTGGGGAGACTGGCTGGGGAGCAGCATTTTTCCATGACCCCTGGTCTTCGCCACCTGGCTTGGGCATGCTCTGCACTGATCTCAGGTATAGCCAGGTGACCAGTGCCCTATTTAGAGCAGCACTCATCTGAGTCCGCTTCCTTATCCTGTGGGTGAGCACTAGGCCTCTGAGTAACGAAGACCACTGACAGTCTTCAGATCCCGTGGCTAATTAGTGGCCAGGCTAACATTAGCCAGTGATTTTCAAGCAGAGGCAATCTGCCCCCCTCTCCCTCCCCAGGAAACACTGGACACGTTATATAGTAAAGGGCACCCCAGTGTGAACTGGGTTGCCTGACTGTGGGTCCTCACATGTGCACTTAAAGGAACTTACAAGATTCAACTGCAGGCACCCACAGAAATGCTACAAGAGAAAGGGAAGTGAATAAGTCAGGGAATAAAAGAGAGAGAAAGAGAATAACTCAGGGAATAAAAGAGAGAGAGAGAGGGAGAGAGAAGTTGGTTAATGTGTCCTATCAGTTCCTCAGCCCTGGAACCCCAATAGCATGCTGAGAGTTGGTGGGAAGCCAAGGGACAAGCTGTGAGCCACAAGGCCAAGAGACCCCCAAAGTCCACATGTCTGTTTATATCCAACATGGCTGCTTAACCCCAACCTCGGGTCCCAGCATCCTCCCTTTGGTGATGCTGGGATTTGTAGTTCCCGTGTCTGGGGTGGGGGTGGAGTCCGCAAAAACCGCATGTGTAGAGTTCATTCAGGACATCCTTTCCCCTTAACAGTATCACAGCTGGGACACTGCTGGTACCTGCTACCACACTCCTGGGTCCCACGGGCCACCCCAGCCTGTCACAAAGAAGGAGCCAGCCCAGGTGCCCCGGCTGCTGTTGACAGTGCTGTTCGTTGTCAAGCATCCTGGCTCTTGACTTCTGCTTGCACCTTGCTCCCTGCTGCCCCTTCCCCGGGATCACCAAAGCTGTCTGTGCTCCATGATGGTCAGTAGCTGTTGTCACAGCAAGCTGGGGCTGAAAATGCTTGTGCTGTTCCTTATGAGGCTCCTAGGCCACTTGGTGCTAAGAGTTCTAGGCCCCCGTTGCTGCTCCAATCTCTGAACATGTAGCATTCAATGTTGCCTCTTATTTCTTGGCAGTGGGCTGGTATCTGACAGTGGCTATGTCGTCCTGCACACAGGAGAGCAGAATGACCTCCATCCCTAAATGGAGCAGCCTATCTAAAAGGGGAAGTAGGGCTTTTTCAGGAGAAAGTCTAAAAATTTTATATTCATTAACAGTGCAAAAGGTTGAATTGGTGCTGGAGGGACATGTACCCTCCTTGGGACGGTAAGAGGTTCACTGCGAACCTTAACATCCTGTCCCAGCAAGCAATGTACAGGGCTGTGAGTGAGTGGGGAGTCTCGGGGCAGACAGAGGTGAGTGTGTTGCGTGGAGAAGGAGCAGCGTGTGTGCTGTGGCCTGTATGATTGGTTCTCCTCCTCCTTCTTCCTGGGACACTGGAGGCCGTGGCACACCAGTGTTCCAATGACTTCAGTCACCTTTCCCAGTGAACTTGACCTGTCTGCTGCAGAAGCCGATGGGGTCTGTGTGCTCCTGTGCTGGCGAGGTGCTCGGCTTGGTGGTTTGCACTTCATGTGTATCAGGCTGTGGACGTGGTGGTCGGGCTGCATCCTTGTTTGTGTCCACTGCTGAGTCCTGGCCAGCCAGACTCTGTGTTCTGGCTCCTTTACCTGCAAGCCGTTTTGTGCCAGGTTGGGGTTGCCTAAAAGGCTGTTGAGCCACGCACTGGGGGTCCTGAGCCTGCCATCGCTGGGGGTGGGGGCAGAACCCCCTACTTGCCCTTCTTCCCCCAGTCTCCTTCCTGGGTTAATCATGTCTGGGGTGCAGAGTGTTCCCTGGCCTTGGTGCCTGAGGCTCTCATCAGCTCTCAGTTTAGGAAACTGTTCTGAAACTTTACCCCACGCAAGACTGCTGAGGAGTCAGTGAGGACCGAGGCTCCAGGCCTGGCCACCCCATCTCCCCCCAACCCCAGACTGCCAGGTGCTGAGCAAGGCCTGTCGCTTTGACACCAAGAGAACCCCTATAACCACCTCTGATTGGATTGAGGTTTTGGAATCAGCCAAGCCTGGAAATGAGGTGCCATGCTATGGCCTTAGGAGGTCTGTTTAGCATTTTTAAATATCTGCACATTCTTTGCTGGCCTCAGTTAAACAGCTTATTTTCTCTTAGGATTTTCTGATAACCCCAAAGCAACCCACAGCCTTTGCCCACACATGGCTTCCACAAGGAAAATAATCAACCTCTAAGCTCACGATCTGCCTTTCTTCTGGAATCTCAGATCCACCCCACCCCCAGAGCGGTTCTCATGTGTCCCCAGACGTCCCGGGGAGACAGGAAGGAGGAGGATGGATGGTCCCGATAAGCAGCATGCGTGCTCGGTGGGGCTGCACTGCACTGCAGGGGTTCCCACAGGGGCCCCACTTGCTGTCTGACTTCCAGCTCAGCCAGCTCCTCCCAGGCCTCATTCAAACTCCACCTCCACCAGCTTCCTGTCTTGGCAATGTGGACCCCACTGCCTCCTGCCTCGGGTGGATACACTCTGGGCTCTTCTTACTGATGCTCTGAAAACCCTGGTCTCGAGCACTGTGCAGCTCAAAGGGGCCAGATTTGCAGTCCAGGCCCAGTCATGCCCCACGGCTTCCTTCCTCTCAGCCAGGTGAGCCCCTGAGGTGACCCTGCCTCACCTATCTGGATGCCCAAGCTGCCGGCTGGGGAGGTGGCTGTCTACAGCCTAGTCTACAGCCCTCTGTCCAGACTGGACATGTACTCTAGATACATGACATGTTCTGTGTATCCACAGTTGGGTTTATTTTGTATAGTCACATTACACATGGACATGTGGGCACATTGCATGCATGTCATAGCATTGATGTGCATGTTGTATTCCACAACACACAGGTACCCATCCGGGCAACTCGTGCATATGACATTACATGTACATTGGAGATATTATGTGTGGAACATATGTATACACACGGCATGCTATGTATCACCCATGCACATGCTGGCATATTATATAGCATGTGTATGTGTTGGTAATGTGATCATAAGCACACAACACATCACATATTATGTAGCATGCAGCATGTACCTTAAGATATAATGTGTAATATACACACTATAACTTCCATCTGTGTTCACATCACAAAATGCAGGTGTTCTGATGTCACTTCCCGCCCAGGCTGTGATCCGGAGCCTGGGCCCACCTCTCTGCACTGCGCTTCCGGTGCCTGGCCTGACCTCGGGCACCGGGAGGGGCTCCCCAGACCCCAGGTCTGCTGCAATTTTAGGTGTCTTGCGTTTTGTTGTGAGTTTGCTTGCAGACTCGGGGGCCCCACTTCCCACGGGGTATCCTCCAGGCTGGGGGTGGCTGCGTGGGCTGAGGCATGCTGAGGCTGGTGATTCAACCCCTTTATATGAGCTCACGTCCCACCCTGGCGTCCCCGACTTGGGGGGT